ATGCTGTTGATTGAAGTCGAAAGAAATGCCATTACTAACCTGGGTTACCCTACTTAAAACAGTATAATAAAAATGTATCAAGTGAATACAGAATAATATAAATAGATAATATTAAATAAATAAATATCTTGTTTGTTTTTAGCGACTCTTCATTTTGTAATACCGTATGGAAACATATAATTTTCAATTCAGTTTAATAAAGATAGATACAACAATGAGTGTTATTAAGTTGTGGAATTCATACCACTTTACGTACTCTATATCATTATAGGCATAAACGAAGAAGAGGAAGATTGGTAATCTAGGTGTATAAACATGGAAGGGAAGTTTAAACTTGAACAGTTTATGAGCACCAGTACTTGACTTGACATAATGAAATGGTCTACTAGCAATTAGCCTACACTGTAAATGCCGACATTAATATCTATCGTATATCACTTGTGCAAAATATAGGCCAGGTGTTGATAAAGGTCGTCGTGTTATTGCGTCCAGAGGTTTACAACGTTGGGCTTGTCACGAATTTGTAATATATTTAAAGCAACATTTCAAAACAACACGTATGGCATAAGCTTCTAACACAACATACATTCGGGTAATTTGGGAATTTACGTACCTAATGGCTGCCAAATAACAATTTTAATTATGTTTTATCGATTTTTATCGGTTATCTAAAATTTATTATGATAATGGTATTGTTCAGAAATTGAGAACACAGCTTTAGTCCAACAATTATTCGATTTTATTTAATACTACGTGTAAGTAGACCTATTTGTACTTGTACGATGGCTGCAAATAATAAGACCAATTGTTTCTGTTAATTATGAAAAATTGAACATTAAAACACAGTACAGATATCTCTTCTTTTAAATTTACCTATATCGGACAGAGCCTGACTAGGGATAGAGGCAGTAGCGGTGTTTTCAATTACGTGGTTAAGAGAGGGAGTGTACAGACGGATGAGACAGAGATAAAATGGGAGAAGGAACATTATATCAGAGCTACCTTTTACCTTTCTTCATATCAAACAGCACAATATACACAATATAATGTACCTACACTTTCTTGTTAAAAATTTCGTTGCTAAATATTGGCAAATGTAAGAAAAAAAAGGAAATTATTATTTTTTTGGCTAAAATTTGTTTATTCACCTAAAATTGTTGTAATCTTTGTCTTTGTAAGTTGATAACTCATTTTCTCCATTTGAATTAGCAATTCAATGTTCTAAATAAAAATGTGTATGAGTTTTCAGATTTTTCCATACTATAGAGAATATCTAAGAATTGACATTATATGGACAAAATGGACATTACAAAATGCTAACAGCTAGGCCTACTTTGTAAATTATTAAAGAGTCCTCCATTGGTGCTTATCAACAATTTTTCTTGTAAACATAGTCAGGCTGTCCAATAGCTTCGAATCTCAAGTGCTCTTGCAACGACAATAAAAATCTGCGGCACTAACAATTAATATTGTGCGTTTAATTTGAGTTCCGAATGTAGGCCCTACGCACTTCACACATCACTCGTCATGGCGTACATACATCAAGTGCCACGTACTGTATTACGGCAATAGTAAACAGGAATATTTTAACTAGATATCCTTGAGCTCATTTAAGACATTGAAAGGATCCTGGATTTGGCATTATCTCATTATATGTCTAGCTAGATTTATAACTTTAGAAAATAATCCATAAAGTAGATGAAGTGATCAGACATCACACTTAAATCGTCGTTATGTGAACGCACGATCATACCTCGCGTCGCTAGTTGATTCTAATTAGTTCTAATTATCAAATAGGCCTACAGGTGTTATGTTGTTTTTTTTAATTATTATTATTGTAGTTATCCTTTGTACATTTCTTTTTAACGATAAACAAACTGAGAAACAGGGAATTCGAGATCTTTAAAGACAATCAAATGCAGAATAATCCCCATAAGCCGAGAACTCACTGCGCCCGACTGCCGTCGGCCAAAGCGATTATATGGAGAAGGCAACGCCACGCGCGCAAAGGACCGTTTTTAATGACGTTCAGAATGCCGTCGTCTAAATTTCACAGGAAGCGAGCGGGGTTGGATGCGTCGGCCGACGGTCGTACGACGTAGTGAGAGCCCGGCGTTGAACCTAATAAAACTAATCAATAATCTAACTTTTTAGATATTGATAGTTTACTGGTATAAAACAAAAAAACAGGTCATGAGATTGGACAAAATAGAGCAGACAAAATGTATGTTTTATCATGTACCTTGTGAATTGATCTTCAAAACATAGTATATACATATCAGACCACAATATTTTGACACACGTCACCCTGTGATGTGCGAGACATTTTGAACAAAGTATTTCCAATTTGATTTCATTGTGTGGGCTTTCTAGCAGAATAAAAATTGAATTTGCTTTTTTATTTCAAAGAACATGTCAGACGTACAATGTTATTATAACACATTTACGCGTCTGAATTTTTACGGGCGTGCTCAAATATACGTTATTTTAAACTTTTAAA